ATAGATAGATAGATAGATAGATAGATAGATAGATAGATAGATAGATAGATAGATAGATAGATAGATAGATAGATAGATAGATAGATAGATAGATAGATAGATAGATAGATAGATAGATAGATAGATAGATAGATAGATAGATAGATAGATAGATAGATAGATAGATAGATAGATAGATAGATAGATAGATAGATAGATAGATAGATAGATAGATAGATAGATAGATAGATAGATAGATAGATAGATAGATAGATAGATAGATAGATAGATAGATAGATAGATAGATAGATAGATAGATAGATAGATAGATAGATAGATAGATAGATAGATAGATAGATAGATAGATAGATAGATAGATAGATAGATAGATAGATAGATAGATAGATAGATAGATAGATAGATAGATAGATAGATAGATAGATAGATAGATAGATAGATAGATAGATAGATAGATAGATAGATAGATAGATAGATAGATAGATAGATAGATAGATAGATAGATAGATAGATAGATAGATAGATAGATAGATAGATAGATAGATAGATAGATAGATAGATAGATAGATAGATAGATAGATAGATAGATAGATAGATAGATAGATAGATAGATAGATAGATAGATAGATAGATAGATAGATAGATAGATAGATAGATAGATAGATAGATAGATAGATAGATAGATAGATAGATAGATAGATAGATAGATAGATAGATAGATAGATAGATAGATAGATAGATAGATAGATAGATAGATAGATAGATAGATAGATAGATAGATAGATAGATAGATAGATAGATAGATAGATAGATAGATAGATAGATAGATAGATAGATAGATAGATAGATAGATAGATAGATAGATAGATAGATAGATAGATAGATAGATAGATAGATAGATAGATAGATAGATAGATAGATAGATAGATAGATAGATAGATAGATAGATAGATAGATAGATAGATAGATAGATAGATAGATAGATAGATAGATAGATAGATAGATAGATAGATAGATAGATAGATAGATAGATAGATAGATAGATAGATAGATAGATAGATAGATAGATAGATAGATAGATAGATAGATAGATAGATAGATAGATAGATAGATAGATAGATAGATAGATAGATAGATAGATAGATAGATAGATAGATAGATAGATGATAGATATTTCAGACACTTAAAACTACTGCTATTGCTTGTATTCATGTTGATACTAAATGCAATATCTGACTGAAGCAGTTAATTTATGTTACCACATGAATCCCATTTTTATTTGACCTGACAAAACATGTTATTGCTGTAACTTATCCTATTTACAGTGATAAATAACATCACAGTGCACTTGTAAATACTTTTGAACCAACAAACACAATTAGAGCCATTATAAGTATCTGATTGTTTTTCTTCTTGAATTATCTCATGATATTTCCATCATAAGTGGATGAAGTGCATGCTGCGGTGTTATAACATGTACTTCAGACTATCTGACTTGCTAATCATATGGCTCAGAATAGCATGGCAGTAATGATATACTGCACGTGTTAAACGAGCAGCAGCTCTCGCAGACTGTGTTCGAGAGACGATAAATCACTCGTCCTACACGAGAGAGGCCACACAACGCCAGGTCAAGGAGAGCGGCTTTCCTCTAACGCTGCCTCTCTTTCACTTTCCCCCTCATTCTGTCATCCAGCGCAGCAACAAGCTCATGATACGACCTAAATATATAAAAAACACATTATAATAAACAATAAAGAGTGCATTAGTGCTGCTCACTTTTTAGCATTTATGTTTCCTATAAGGATAAAAAGTCTTTGTTAATGAGTTATAAGTCATAATGCAAAACAACCAGCTTCAAGGAGAATCATAACATTACAGAAGCAAAACTCTGAATGAAAATCAGGTACAAGACTGTGAGCTTTAATGAGGGAAAGAACTATAAACACACAAGGCACTGTGAATGTCATTAATTTAATTCAAAATAATGGAGGAATCTAAAACTATTCATTTGAAGTTTTGTATATGTAGAAACAATATATTACGAGTTATTGGCAAACTATGCATATTTTGCTCTCTGCAATTCTCTGATTAGTGGAATTGTCTGTACAGCATCAGGGGTAATGCAGTTTTTTCACTATTAAACATTATCATTAAAAATACGCTTAATTAATGCAAACAGATGAGTTCAACAAAAGCATATACAAGCGATTAACAACCTTGGAACTCACAGCACGTCTGTCTTTAAAGGTTAATCAGTTATTGCTAAAAAATGGAGAATATTTTCCAATGGAGAATATGAATAGAGTTTTTAATATCCACAAAAAAGGTCGTAGCGCCAAACACTCGTCCAAAAACCCAGTAGGCAAAAAACATAAGGTGCGTAGATCCAAAAAATACAAAGATGCAAAGATGAAAGAGATCCGCACTCGTTCAAATACAGCTCAAAAGGCTTATTCCATTTATTGCTCAGAGGTCACAAAAAAATGTGCAATTTTGCACTTCTTTGCACATATTTTTGTGACCTCTGAGCAATAAATGGAATAAGTCTTTTGAGCTGTATTTGAACGAGTGCGGATCTCTTTCATCTTTGCATCTTTAGAGTTTTTAATATCAAATAATTATTTGAATAGAGTTTGAATGAATGAATGAATGAATGAATGAATGCATGAATGAATGAATGAATGAATGAATGAATGAATTAATTAATTAATGCATGAATGAATGAATGAATGAATGAATGAATGAATAGCCCCTAGAGTGCAGTTTCCATGCTGGACTGTTTTAATAGATCACACCTCTGAGAAGCAGGGACCATATTACATTTGGTTGAGCAGCAGCAGGGACGGAGATGACTGACCTTGGAGAAACAGGTTGTCTCTGCTGCAGGAGGTTGTCAGCGCTGACACTGAGCACACAGGTAGCAATGTGTTGTTGTTTTGTTGTTGCCCTGTCGTGCTTTATTGTCAGAAGCGGACGTCTTGTGAGATCACAGAAGGGCTTTTATCCAGAGAGGCTTTGCCCGGCATATCAACACTGTATCAAATCCATCCGATTTCTCAGAAGGATGTAATCCGCACTTCACCGTAACTTCTTTAGGAATGCGGTTAAAAAGGACCGGAACTCTGCAAATGCACATTTCATTGCTAGATTAACTTCTGTGATTGTCTGTTCTCAGAAGAATAGTCTCTTCACATTTCCGTCGCAGCGTGATGCAGCTCAGTTCACCAGAAATCAAGTGAATGCATCAGTGCCGAAGTGAATAAGCTCCAAGTAGATGGCAGAGCCGTTCCATAGGGATGCTGCCATTACCCAGTTCTGCTGAGAAATGAACCCTTGTCACAGATACATTATTTACATCTCCCGCTCCTTTTTTTTTTCTTTCACCAGAGGGACTGCTTTATTTTATAACACATACATAAGAGAGAACTGAATGGCATATTGATATCTCAGCCAGTAGGACGGCTGCTTGAACTACATTATAGCCCACAGGAAAAAAAAAAGACAAAGAAAAAAGACTAAAAACAGACACTATGGGCTTTTGTATTATTTTGCAGAGATCAAATGTTGATGTATTAGATTTACTTCCTGTGATGCTGTTTATTTGTCAAATTTCTATTGCTGTGTTTTTCTGACCTTAATTCTTATATTTCTGATCTTATATTGGGCTTCTCCAAATTTTGTCATTTGTGCCGTTTTTGTTTTAGTTTTTTTTAATAAATAAATTAATTAATTAATTCATTCATTAGAACATTTATTGAAATGATTATTTATTATTTTTGTATTTTGTTTTCTATTTTAATAATATATTATTATTATTATTGATACATTTTATAATAAATGTGTAATAAATGTAGTTATTTATAATAAATACTACTACTACTACTACTGCTACTATAATTATTATTTTTTATTTATTAGAAAATTTATTGAAATGTTTGTTTATTTTATATTAGATTATTATTATTATGTTTTAATCTATAATTAGATTATTATTGATGTATTTATGATGATTTGATGTATTTTATAATAAACACAATATTTAATAATACTACTACTAATAATAAACTTATTTATAATGTATTATTATTATTATTATTATTATTATCATCATCATCATGATCATCATCATCATCATCATCATGAGCATTCATTTAAATTAATAAAAATTATAACCACAATTCCTCAAGAGACACACAGGAGTTCATATTTCCATCAAGGTTGCATTGTACCTAATATTTCACATAATATTTTAAGCACAGTAAGTAAGGTTTCACCAATACAAATATTCTGCCTGGTATTGATAATTGGCAGTTATTTTATTGTAATGGCTGACAACCAATAAATGGCTAATATTTCTGCTGCACTGCAACATTTTGCCTAAAAACATAAAGAAATAAAACACTAAAATGTTAAATAAATAATTTTAATGAAAATGGATATTCATTTGGAGACTTGCTAAAGATTACATGAGTGTTTTTGTTATTAGTGTTTTTAAAGAAATCAAAGGTAACCTAAATGTAAAAAAGTAATAAGTAAATAAGCATGCATAAATAAATATCTAATATCGACCTATAACGGTAATACAAAACAACATACAGCATCCAACATAACTGATATATCATGCACCCCTAACTCTAAGCATAACCTACAAATAGGCTACATGTATTTTGAAAAATATTCTGTAAATCATATTCAGCTCACAGAAATCTCTCGTGTCCCCATGACCTGAAGCTCTCTTAGATCGAGTTCTTATTTCACTCAGTGCTTTGTTAGTTTAAACAGATCAGTTCCTGCAGATGTAATTGCCTAAAACTGCTGAATATGCATAACAGAACAGCAATAATGCTCCTATGCTCACTTAACAAGAATCGAAATGGCATGACTTCCTTTACTCCCATGTTACACAGCACCAGTCAATAAGGCAGAGAGTGGAAAAGGCTGGAATAAAAGAGGACGAGAAAGCGAGAGAGTGACGAGCAGCACAGAAATGGAGGTGAGAGATGGGAAAGTGGGCTGGGAGAGAATGGAAGAGCTCAGCCGAGCATCACGCTCGCGATAAGAGCCGCTCTTGTCTTGTCATCGGGTTCACCGCTTCGCTAAGGTATTGTCCTCGGGCTTATTCTCTTCCCGCACAGCCATTATTTAAATTAATCGCCGAGCTTCATTAATCTTAATGACTCCTTTAGGAAGGATACGTGGAGGGAGCAGCTCATGACAGGATGCTTTGAAGTGGATTTTGTGTTGAAATGGAGCGTTTCTGCTTCTGTGCAGCGAGAACTGACCGGTCCGAGATTTCCTCCGGTTTAATGCATGAGGCACGCGCTCGAGCAGAATTAAAATTAATGAAAAGCATCTTAAACGACAGCTGCTGAGCCATTTAATAACTTAACATGCTATTGTTCTATGAGGTTATAATTAAAGTATTTATAGGCACTGCCATTATTGTGTAATTGTAAGATACGGTACTGTGTTGCAATAACCATTTCATATTTAAAGGCAAAGTGTGTCATTTTTTAGATGGTAAATAGTTTACAATCCCAGTATTATTTTATTCATATTTTGCCGTTTTTATTTTCATTTCGGTTAACGTTTTAGTAATTGTGTTGTGTGTTTTTGTCATTTGTTTTTTTAATGTGTCTATATTATATTTTATTTTAGTTTTAGTTATTTTAGTACATCAAGATAAACTAAATGAAAATGAGAAATGCTGCAAACAGCTGGAATAAAATCAAATAAAGTTATTTTATTTAAACTAAACTAAAATGAGACGTAAATATATACAGTATAGCATTTTACTTCAAGTAACAAAACTTGTTTTATGGTTTTAATTTTAGTAACTATAATAATCCTGCTCAGTAGCACTATGAAACCAGTTCAGATTTCACTCAACCAATGGCATGTGTTAGGGGAGGGGCCATCTGTTTGATCGACCAATGGCAGATGAGGGGAGTGGTCAGGAAACCTGTGTTTACTTTTGCAACTCTGTTCGATGCTTGTGCTTCATAAACGACACCCTTCACTTTAAATCTAGTCACACTAATGAAAACATTTTACCACATTATCAAGCCTCAGATGTGATCAGCATGATAACATGCATGTAATTGCCATTTATTTTTCATTAAATGCCAAAGAAAGTGGGATGGGATGCTCATAAAGACAACATAGCGGAAAATGAATATGGCAAGAAGACATGTCATTTCTAGAGTATAATCATGGAAATTGCTTTAAACTGCCACACAGAAAAAGTCTACAGAAAATGCATGGCCTTGTGTGTGTCTCCCCACTATTGGCAATAAACGCGATTCTTCGTTTCAGTCTGTCAGTGACAACTTCACGAGCACCTCGTTTCTGCCTCAGTTCAATATTTGTCGAATAAAAGTGGAAAACTAGCCTAATTTCCCTTTGCTGAGGAATTATTGGCATTCTTGCTTGCGGTCGATTACTCTCTGTCGCTGTGGCCAGTTTATTTTTTCCCCGTCTTGTTGCATCTGTAACATCTGTGCAGGCCTTTAATTGAATGTTTGAGATAATACATGAGGAGGATACCATGCAAACACAGCAAGGAAAAGCAGACACTGTGATGCAAGCACTAAACTGCTGGGCTGAAAAAAAAAAAACTAGAAAACAAAGACAAAATAATAATGAGGAGAGCATTAAATCAGATGGATGCAAGCAGGTGGGCCATCTAATAGAGTTATGTGTGCTGATACGCTTGACAAAACACCATCAGACGTTTTTCTGCAGCCGGAGACTCTCATCACCATTCCATAGTTTGTTTATGCAGATATCACTGATTCCTACCATGATGAAAATACTTTTTCTCCAAATTATGTGATAAAATATTGGAATGTTCTTATAAACTGTTCTTAAAGGGACAGTTCACCTACAAATGATTTTTATTTTCATCATTTACTGTCCCCTTCCCTATACACAAATGCAATATATATGAAACCTATTAGAAATGTGAAAAATTGTATTTATATGTAGCCCATACAAATATGTATGTTTATGTATGTGTAAAACATATATGTGACCCTGCAGCACAAAAGCAGTGTTAAGTCGCTGGGTTATATTTGTAGCAATAGCCAACAATACATTG